TTATTTGTTTAGTAGTAGTATTTGCAGTATTTGTTCTGTATTATTTGTTTAGTAGTAGTATTTGCAGTATTTGTTCTGTATTATTTGTTTAGTAGTAGTATTTGCAGTATTTGTTCTGTATTATTTGTTTAGTAGTAGTATTTATTCTGTGTTATTTCTTTAGTAGTAGTATTTGCAGTATAGTATTTGTTTAGTAGTAGTATTTGCAGTATTTGCTGTATAGTATTTGTTTAGTAGTAGTATTTGCAGTATAGTATTTGTTTAGTAGTAGTATTTGCAGTATTTGCTGTATAGTATTTGTTTAGTAGTAGTATTTGCTGTATAGTATTTGTTTAGTAGTAGTATTTGCTGTATAGTATTTGTTTAGTAGTAGTATTTGCAGTATTTGTTCTGTATTATCTTATATTTATCTGTAAATAACATTTCCTGGATGGTTCAGGTTCAGTCCAGCAGGTGGTGCTGCAGCACAGACAGACAGAAGCTTCCTGTGAAGGTTTGAGCTTTGGAGACTGAACCAGGACCAGGACCAGGACCAGGACCAGGACCAGGACCAGGACCAGGACCAGGACCAGGACCAGGACCAGGACCAGGAACAGACCTGCAGCTGGGCCTCAGCCAGATGTTTCTCTCTGGTCTCCAGGTCTGACAGAGTTTTCTGAAGCTTGTCCTCCAGCAGGCTGAACTCCAGCTCCTGAAAGACCAGGACCTGTCAGAAACTGAAGACAGTCCAGACTTTGGTGGACTTATTGAGATGTTTGTAAACGTCTCCACCTTCTTCCTGACCAGAGCTTCTCTCTCTGCGTCTCTCTTCTTCCACTCCTCGGCCAACGCCTGCATGTGTCTCAGCTCCCTCTGCTTCAGCTGAAAGACAAGAACCAGATCCTCAGGACCAGTTCTGCACAGCACCAGGTACTGTCCACAGACCTGCAGACAGGAGACAGCTGGTCTCTGGACCCAGGTTTACATTTCAGGAAATAAAAACATAAAAAACTTTTCAAATCAAAAGATCAAATAAACAAAAACAACAGATCCACCAGGTCTCAAAGACCGGTTCCACCTGAAGGACTCTAGGTGGGTCTCTGTAGGACTCTAGGTGGGTCTCTGAAGGACTCTAGGTGGGTCTCTGAAGGACACTAGGTGGGTCGTTGAAGGACTCTAGGTGGGTCTCTGAAGGACTCNCTAGGTGGGTCGTTGAAGGACTCTAGGTGGGTCTCTGAAGGACTCTAGGTGGGTCGTTGAAGGACTCTAGGTGGGTCTCTGAAGGACTCTAGGTGGGTCGTTGAAGGACTCTAGGTGGGTCTCTGTAGGACTCTAGGTGGGTCTCTGTAGGACTCTAGGTGGGTCTCTGTAGGACTCGAGGTGGGTCTCTGTAGGACACTAGGTGGGTCTCTGAAAGACTCTAGGGTCTCAGACCTGGTTCGGGTCTAAGGTGGGTCCAGGTACCTGGTCATCAAACTGGTCCTCCTGCTCCTCCTTCCACAGCTCCAGCTCCAGAGCTGCTCGGTACTCGGGGGTGTCTCTGGTGGACAGAGGAGCTGCTGGGTGTGCAGACGGCTGAGGACAGGCTGGGACGTCCCTCTGGACATAAAAAATAGACCAAAGATGCTTTTATTTTGAAACATCCTGGTTTTAATCTGGATTACAGCGTTGGATAATCTGGAGGCACTCCTTTAACCAGAGATAAATCTCTACAGTAAGTTCCTGCTCAGCTCACCTGGACTCACCTGGGAGGACTCTGACACCACCACCTGTTTGGGTCTGATGAACCCGAGGTCCTCCAGCGTGGCCTCGTAGCTCAGCTCTGCTACTTTCTCTGTGGACCTGGAGGGAGGAGGCACACCTGTTCAACCTGCTGCAGGTGAGCGTGCTGCCAGTCATCAGCTGGAGCTTACCTCTGCAGGTGGACCACAGGGATCTGGTCCTGGTGGGTCTGCTTCCAGCTCTGCTCTCCAGAAGGTCCAACAGTTCTGCTTCTGGAAGAGCTCAGCAGGTGAGACAGCAGGATGGAGGCTCGTCCAATCAGCTGGTCTCTGCTGCTGGAGCCTCTGTGCCAGAGCTCCACCAGGAGAGGAACCCTGCCCCAAACAAACAAACAAACCAACGAGTAAACAAACAAACAAACCAACGAGTAAACAAACAAACAAACCAACGAGTAAACAAACAAACAAACCAACGAGTAAACAAACAAATCAACGGTAAACAAACAAACAAACCAACAAGTAAACAAACAAACCAACGAGTAAACAAACAAACAAACCAACGAGTAAACAAACAAACCAATGAGTAAACAAACAAACCAACGAGTAAACAAACAAACAAACCAACGAGTAAACAAACAAACCAACCAACGAGTAAACAAACAAACCAGCCAACGAGTAAACAAACAAACAAACCAACGAGTAAACAAACAAACCAATGAGTAAACAAACAAATCAACGAGTAAACAAACAAACAAACCAACGAGTAAACAAACAAACCAACCAACGAGTAAACAAACAAACCAGCCAACGAGTAAACAAACAAACCAACGAGTAAACAAACAAATCAACGGTAAACAAACAAACAAACCAACGAGTAAACAAACTAACCAATGAGTAAACAAACAAACGAGTAAACAAACAAAACAACCAACGAGTATAAAAACAAACAAACCAACAAGTAAACAAACAAACTTACTAACAAGTAAACAAGAGCAAGTAAACAAGAACAAGTAAACAAATAAAACCAACAAACTAACAAGTAAAAAAACAAGTAAACAGACCAACAAGTAAACAAACAAACCAACAAGTAAACAAACTAATTTACTAAGTAACAAGTAAACAAAAACAAGTAAACAAATAAAAAACCAACAAACAAACAAGTAAACAAACAAATGAGTAAACAGACCAACAAGTGAACAAGTAAACAAACCAATCAACAAATAAACCAACAAGTAAACAAATAAACCAACAAGTAAATAGACCAACAAGCAAACGAACAAACCAACAAATAAACCACCAAGTAAACAAACAAACAAACCACCAAGTAAACAAACCAACCAAGAAACAAACAAGTAAAAAAAGTTTCTTAAACCAACAGATCTACCTGAGGAAGGTGTCCTGCAGCTGGTGGGGCAGCGCAGCGAAGTCGAAGGCGCAGAAGGACTGAGGGAGGTTCACCTGTGTGTTCCTCTGCAGCTCCACAGGTGGGTTGGTCATGATGGGAGCTGCGCTGCCAAAGAAAGGGTACGAGTACCTGAAACCAACGAAACTGTGTCAGATCTGATGAACGGGCTCTGTTTGGTTTGAGAAAGCAGATGTGTTTGTTGTGACCTGGATCGGAGCAGAACAGGTGTCTCACCTGAGCATAGCAGAGATGGGCTGAGGTAAGCTGAACTTCCCCAGGCTGCGCAGGTCCAGAGAGAAGCAGTAGTGATGAGCCGAGGATGGGATGGAGACTTTAGGAGCAGACACACTGATGGACGATGAGGTGGTCTCAGGCTGATGGAGCAGAGGGGCTTCATCATCTGCGGACAACAAACATCTTCACCCAGAACCTTCTGAAGAGTCGACATCATCCAGAGCCTTCAGAAGAGTCGACATCTTCATCCAGAGCCCTCTGAAGAGTCGACATCTTCATCCAGAGCCCTCTGAAGAGTTGACATCTTCATCCAGAACCTTCTGAAGAGTCGACATCTTCATCCAGAACCTTCGAAAGAGTCGACATCATCCAGAACCTTCGGAAGAGTCGACATCATCCAGAACCTTCGGAAGAGTCGACATCATCCAGAACCTTCGGAAGAGTCGACATCATCCAGAACCTTCGGAAGAGTCGACGTCATCCAGAACCTTCGGAAGAGTCGACGTCATCCAGAGCCTTCTGAAGAGTCGACATCATCCAGAGCCTTCTGAAGAGTCGACATCATCCAGAGCCTTCTGAAGAGTCGACATCATCCAGAAACTTCTGAAGAGTCGACATCATCCAGAACCTTCGGAAGAGTCAACCTCATCCAGAGCCTTCTGAAGAGTCGACATCATCCAGAACCTTCAGAAGAGTCGACATCATCCAGAGCATTCTGAAGAGTCGACATCATCCAGAACCTTCTGAAGAGTCGACGTCATCCAGAACCTTCTGAAGAGTCGACATCTTCATCCAGAACCTTCTAAAGTGTCGACATCTTCATCCAGAACCTTCTAAAGTGTCGACATCTTCATCCAGAACCTTCTAAAGTGTCGACATCTTCATCCAGAACCTTCTGACGAGTCGACATCTTCATCCAGAACCTTCTAAAGTGTTGACATCTTCATTCAGAACCTTCTGAAGGGTCGACATCTTCATCCAGACCCTTCTACAGAGGTGAGATGCTCAGCTGTGGAGTTTCAGACTCACCTGATGCTCCTGTAGGCTCTTTGTGGACCTCCTCCAGGAGACTCTCTGCTGCACTCTCCGTGTGAGACTGAGGAAGAGCAGGAGGGCCAGGAGGAAGGTCAGCAGGTCTATGAGCAGATGAGTCTGGAGGGTCCTGCTCTGCTGGAGGAGGATCAGGGAGACGTGGAGCTGCAGGAGAAGACTTCTCCTCTGATGGCTGAAAAGAGGAGAAAAGATAAAGCAGTCATGTCTCCTAACAGACGTCTAATGATTCATTTAAAGCTTTAAAATGACTTGATTAAGAGGCGTGTCCTTCACCTGCAGAGGCCCCTCCTCCCTCCTCAGGGTGATGGCCACGCCCACAGTGGGCTGCAGGTCAGCGGGCAGGTCCGGCAGCTTGGTGCGTCTCAGCGGCTGCAGGGTGAACGCTCCCTCCACGGTCGCCGGCTTCACGTCCACGAAGACTGAAGCAGCAGCCAGGACGGAGAGGGGGACTTCAGCGCTGCCCAGAGAGTGATTCCCACAGCAGAGGTGGACCTGAAGGAGATGGGACCTTCAGACTACACCCAGACCAGGTTCAGGTCTGACACACTTCACCTCACCTGTAAAGCGGGCTGCTGAGACAGGAAGACCTGCAGGACCTGTTTGCTGCTGCGGATGCGTACCGAGGCGCGCTCCGGCTCAAAGTCGGGTCTCAGTAGGTTCTGGAAGGGCTCACTGGTGATGTCGTTCCCCAGTAAGGAGTAGTAGAAGAAGAACCCAGAGTCCTCTGAGGACAGCTTCTTTGTGCTGGGAACCAACTGCACACAAAACAACACAACATAACACAAAACAACACAACGGTTTGTTTCTGATAAAGTTTCATCTTACTAAGTAAATTCTGCAGGTTTTTATTGACAGTCTCTCCCTTTGTCTGTCAGGCTGTCAGTCAGCAGGTCACTTCAAGTCCAGACTGTTGTCCCTGGTCTTTAACTCTGCTTCAAAGGAAAATTTGTCCTGAATTTGATTTGAGCTCTTGGGAAATTGCTGCAACTTATATTAAGTGTTTTTGGTTTTTCTTGGCATCACTAGTTTTGGTATCTTACAGCCAATTCTGTTATTGTTTTTATCTTTTTAACAAATTTCAGTTTAATTGTAATTTTATGTGTGTGTGTGTGTGTTGTTTTATCTTAGTTAACTGTGATGTGATTGCTGTGAAGCCCTGTGGTCAGCTGAGCTTGTTGTAAATGTGTTACTGTATTTAAATAAATAATGACTTGATATAAAGCTTCCTTCAGAGGCTCAGATCTAAAGTAAATCAAACATCCTCCACTGGTTTCACCTCCTCCTCAGGCAGGAGGTTCAGGAGCTGAGGAGGACCTGACCTGTTCCAGGTTGGTGGTGAAGGCCACGGTGACGGAGAGGACAAACATGTCCCTGCACACATCTGCAGGTCCCACCTGATGGTAGCCCTGCTCTGGGACCAGCTGGGCCTGCAGCGGGTCAGGTACCGGGACAGAACCTGAGAGAGAACCTGAGAGGGAGGAGCAGGAAGCAGACATGGTTTAATTCAAACTGGGTGTGGTAGTAGCAGAGAGTGGTGTCCAGCACACACTCTGAGGGTTTGTCAGGTGTTAAAGGTTCAGCTGCTGCCGGGTGGTTTACAGCTGATCTGAGCAGACCCTCAGGAGGACACACCTGGTCGAGGGGGGGCCTTCTTGGCTTTGAACCTTTCTGGGGAGGGCTGGGAGGTCCTGGAGTCGTTCTCCAGCATCATCCTGATGAGAAGAGCTGGTTTCTGCTTGGTGTATTTACTGCTGAGCAGAGGATACCAGCGAGGATCCTGAAACAGGAACACACAGTCCAGCCCGGTGGGTCTTACTGCACATTTAGGTTTATTTAAGTCAGGCTAAGAGAAGAAAGCCCGGCTCTGTTCTGTGGTTCTGACAGGTGAGCTTTACCTGTCTGACTTCCTGAACAGATCTGAGGTCCAGGACGATGTAGCCCACGTTCTCCTGCTTCTGACTGACCGGGTCGAGGGTGAAACACTGAAGCTTGATGGGGGTCCGCTGCAGCCTGGAAAACACCTCAGAGCTCAACAAGGCATCGGATCAGAACCTTCTGATTGGAGGAAAGATTACAGGAAGTGAATCAAACTACAGGAAGTGAATCTACTACAAACGTCACAGACAGACATGTAACATGTTTAAACATGTTGGAAATATTCAAACAAAAAGCTGAATCAGTGCCGTTTTCTTCCAGGACAGTACTGTGTCAGATACCTGGTTCTGATCATGTGAGCCCGACCCCTGCACTAAAACCAGACAGATAAACCTGTAGCTCATGGTCTCACAGCTGCACACCTGTGTTGGTGCAGAGTCTTGCGGTCCAGTTCCCAGGCCAGCTCGGTGCTGAACTGCGGCTGCTCTCGGTGCTCCACCGGATCTGTGGCCAGCTGCTCGCCATCGAAGCTCGCCTGGACCACCAGACTGAGGCGGGGCCTCTTCGGGAAGTGACGGCCTGAAGAAAGAGGAACAAACCAATCATTTTTAAAGAATTAAACCCAGAAACCTGCAGTTGTGTTGGCGTCTAAACTAGGGATTAGAGCTGAGTGGTATATGCTGTGGACGGTAGAAACGGTGTGAAGTTGGTCTAAGGTAGAAATTTACCCTCTACCGTCCTGTCATCATTACATCATCACACCTGTGAGTGCAGACACACCTGAGCAGGAGTTTGAAATATAATAAAGAAATTCTAGCATTTTAAAACATGTATAGAGAGTGTAATGAATCTAATACTTTTATGTTTAATCCAGTAATTCATGACATCCTTTAATGACCTAGGTTTTCATGACATGCTGTTCATCTGCAGACAGAATGATTAAAGTCAGAACAAGATTTGCTAACAACAGTCATTCTTAGATATCACTTGTGTTTCTTTGTGTTTTCCATTGACCTTGTATCAAATCTTGCTAAGGTGACAGAATGGTGTTTGTTAATATATACACTCACCGGCCACTTTATTAGGTACACCACGCTAGTAACGGGTTGGACCCCCTTTTGCCTTCAGAAC